ACAATTTAATGTGTCCTTTTATAATTTCTTTCTTCAAATGAATTCACATGAATGTTTTTCTCGCATTTTTATTCGTTTTCTGTTATTAAATCATGAATACAAAATACGATAATTAGGAAATAATTCAAAAAGTCGACATCATCAACATACCTTTAATTCTCTCTTCCCGTCAATATTGTTTATAGGCTGTTTACTGTCGAGTATATAGGATATTCTCTCTATCTGAATGACTCAGTTATTTGAGATATTCTATGAAAAAGATAATATTGAATCAGAACACGATTATTATTATTATCATTACTATTAATTTTCATTATTTGTACATATGCATACACATACCAAGGTCGAGGATCTTTCAAATGAAATATTCTTTGATATATTTGATTACTAGATGCTCTTGACATTTTTAATGCATTTGCTTCATTGAATAAACGAATTTCAACGATTTTACAATCAATTCCACTTTGTGTTATTATTCTAAAGAATTGTTGTCGTCGTCAAATTGATTTTCTTTCTTCTCATCTCACTTTTCATGCTCATCAAGTGATTTCATTGGAAATTCGTGATCATTCCGCGGTTATTAGTTTATTATTTAGTCGACAGTATTTTATTAATCTTCAGTCATGTATACTTCTTTCAATTAATCCATCAACAAAACTTGAAAATCTTATTAAACATACAAAGTCTAAATAAACTTGTTTCATTTGCTATTTATCAACCAAATTGTAAAAATCTAAATGAAAATGATATGTATGAGTTCACTCGAATTATACTAATGCACAAATCATCTTCTCTTCGTTGAATCCTACTACAATATCCTGATGAATACTCAGATATATCAAATTATACATCAATAAATTCACATCTTACATCACTTAATACACTTATTTCTGGTTCACCTCCAAATGTATCTGTTTATTCAAGTTTACCAATTCTTTGTCGTTGTCACACAGTACGAGATCTACGCATAACGGTAGAACATAATGATCTAGTTGAAAATAATAATGTTGAGTAAGTTGCCAATCGATGAGTGAATGTAATAGTCACTCATTTGCTTTTATTGTGCGTTGTATGCCTAATTTAATCCACTTCTATTTCCATCTTACAATACGAAGAACAACGTGGTTATTTTCTGGTGAATTACTTGATGGTTATGTATGAAAACAAATGATAGAACTTCATGTTCCATATTTATCTAAATTTTGAGTTTCATATGTCAATTGCGAAAAAGTGTCCAAAATTATATTTAGATATAGTTGTGAATTCAGTTGAATATGTTGTTAGAAAATATTCTAATTGGCATATGATTATTAATCGACGGAGATTTAATGGTCAAACAAGAGTTAAATAAAATTGATTTAAACTATAAAAAAAAAATTCACTGAGTGAAAATTCATCATAACGCTAATTTTTTTTATTAATAAATAATTTTTTAATGAAAGAACAATATTCAATGGAGCTCTGATTGATTTAACAAATAATATTTTGTGCAAAGAAACTTTTACAGTATTCATTTAAAAAAGATGATTTTGTTTCTCGCTATTGTTACATTCTTTTTTTTTTAGAAGAATTTATCATGTTACGCATATTGAGTTATCACAAACACAAATCAAACATAAATCTAACTATGCCTTTTATCTATAGTAGATCATTTGATACACGATCAACAACAACAATGACAAATGATTACTATCCATCTTATTGAAATATAAGAAAATTCAGATTACATTTGACAAAGAAAAAACCCAAAACTACTTGGTCTTCTTCATTATTTAAACAAATCGATTATCTCATTATAGAAATGCCATTAATACGTTTTTCATTTTGGGATTATTTATTGAATATTGGTAAGAATAATATAACAGATAGGTCAGAATAAATGACTGTGCTAGTATTTTCCTAAAAGATCCAGCGTTCAATTCTCGACAAAACTGTATATGAACTGTTGTGATAGCGATAAAATCAAATAAAACTATTTAAATAATCTAGCTGAGATGCAACATAGCCAACTTTCAAAATATTACTTTTCAAATGCATTTTTCTTCATTCCTACTAGTACAACACTGTTGAAAAGCTTATAAGCATTACTTTTTTTTCGAATTTTCAAAAACACCATTTTGCTAAGCTAATTTTTCATGTTTTTCAATAAGCCATGTAATTCAGCCAAAAATTATGTTCGAGTGCAAAACTTCTTTTTTGTTCAAAAGTCTATGGGTGATATTACGAAATATTATAAAACTCTACGTAACTCTAATTGATTCAATGTCACTTGCTATGATTTAGGTTCATAGCAAAGAGCGTAACTATGCCGAATTCGGACCGATCGCGTAGAAACTTGATCCTATGGAAATACTCTTAGCTCAAATATTCACTATTTATGTTTCATCAGATAGAGCACACCTAATTGTACAGAAAATAATGCTTATAAGCTTTTCAACAGTGTTGTACTAGTAGAAATGAAGAAAGATGCATTTGAAAAGTAAGATTTGGAAAGTTGGC